TATATATATATATATATATATATATATATATATATATATATATATATATAATGATATTTTGTAACATGCACTGACATTAATGAGAAAAAGTATAAACTATCGGAAATATACATTAGAAAAAGTCAATAAGCTTACACTTGTGAAGACTTCTAATGATAAATTCATTAATCCTCCGGCCGTGATAGTCAGTTGTTTCTGAGATCTCATTATTATGAACAATATATTTTTACTGTAACTAGGTGACATATTGTACCATAAAGAGTCGTACCCTGCATCAGCGAGTGACCTACTCTGGGAACAAAGCAACAAACAGATATTGAAATAAAAAGATATCTTCTTCTATGGTAAAAAAATTAGTAATTCTACTATTTTACTAGAGAAAATTTATAAATATAATTTAATATTTATAATATGATAAAAAATAAACGTGTATCATGGGTATATTGTAATGCCTGTTGGATACGAAATATAAAATATAAGAAATCGTTAATTGAGAATATCAGGTTAAAAGTAAAGTCAAAATATAATTTATAATATATAAATTGCTCCTAACCGTTTCGAACCGGAAATTGTTCCAAAAGATTCGAAGACAGCAGTTAATAATTATATATCAAATTAAGTTATGTGACACAATTGTTGATTGTATAGTTAATAAATTCCAAATTAACTAACTAATTTTACTAATTAATTTCACTGACCTTAGTACCAAGATATTCTCCAATAAAACAATATATAAATATTTCCGCCGTTATGGCTATATAAGCTAATCCGCTTTGCACCAGGCCGACGTCATTTTCACTATAAATAGACTGTTGTATTAAACAATTAGAAAAACAGAATATATTGTGATTTTGATTAACACTTACTCGAAAAGATTCTACGATACTTACTGTGATTGCGATGACTGCTAGCAAACAGATGACTGATGTATTAGGAAAAACTTGCAAAAAGGTTATGAAAGAATATAGCTTATCGACATTATTGGCAAACTCGATGACTTTATTGTGCTTTTCGACAAGCATTTGTATTGTAAATTCAGCAGATCCGTTGTAAGATACTTTCACAGACATAGTTTTCAACTCATGATATATGATATCGATTTGTCCGCTCACATGAAACACCTAAAATATACTTAAGTATCTGCAAAGATTTCAAGTATTATGTTTAAAGAAGAAAATGCGTTATATATATTTCGATTTAAAGAAAAAATCTGCACGTATATTTTTCCATGTATGTGTATGCTTGTGTGTACGTGTGAGTGTGTGCGTGTGCATGCGCGCGGACGCGTGTGTGTGTGATAATTAATTATTTAATTATAAAAATTTTCAGACAGAAAATCTATAAATTATTATATTTTCTAATTAAATTTCACGCTTTGTCGGATTTTGAGTAAAAACTTTTTTCGCAAACTATATTAAATTGCAATACACGCTATGTTAGTTTTTCTACGTTCATATTCTGCAGTTGTGAATCGACACATAATAAAATTTTAAAGACATACCAGAGAAAAAATTAGCCCGTTTATAGCACCAACCGTACACGCCGTTAATACTCCGTTCAGAAATAATAAGACGACGAGCAACTCGTAGAAGGGCGATTGCTCAGCCTCAAAAGGAAATAACACCTTCATAGGAAACGGTCGTGAAGTATAATTGTCACCCTTCACCACATGTATGATCGCTATCGCATTATCAGCGCCGTAGTAGATCATGGCGGTAAGTATGTCGAAACTCAACAAAACGATTGTGCAAAAGTGCGAGTTGCTAGCTCTCGTCCTCATTAAGTGCAAATGCTGATCGATCTTAACGCACTCGCGCCAATCAGTGTCCATAGCAGTCAGTATTTTACGAATCATGCTGCAATATGTCACTTTAATCGGACAGGAATACTTCGTGTGTTGGTAGCATCACCAATGGTGGCTCTACATGAAATTATACACCGCCGCGACAGATATTATTTAAACGTTTTAATTATTAAGGCACTTTTTGCTTTAATGAATAGTACACATTGAAGAACTCAGCATCAGTTTCCTCTCACGCACGCAAAAACGAATCAAAGAAACTCAATGTTATCTAATACAGTATCTTACCGACGATTCACCCAAAGTGTCGTCAGCTTAAGGATCGTCATAATGTAATATATTGTCACTGCTAAGGGGCTTATAAGATTCTGCAGTTCGCTGAATTTGTAGTTCGCAAATAGGTACAATTGCTGAAAATAATGGACAATCAATATACTTGACATCAAAATCAGCCGGCGAAAAAAAGTGTATGGCATGTCCGGCCACACGCCGAGGAATTGAAGAACAATCTTCAGCGATGGACTGATCATGCTTGTAAGTAACATCTTTTAATCACCCACGAGGAAACACACTTAGAAATAAAAATCGGAGTATGCACAACACTCGCGTGTATGGTAAACTGAAAGAGCGTCGTCCGATCCTCTAAGTGCATCTCTATGTGCTTTGTCCCCACTCCGGTGACCAGCGATCAATCATCTTTATACATAGCGTAATATAATGGCTGAAATTATTTTCCATATAGACATCCTATTCCGCCGATGCGTTGAACAATACGTACTGGATGCATATCGAAAAACAATTAAAGATATGTCTCCTCAAGCGAAAATAATTCTTTTCTGTTTTCCAAGAAGATTACTCCACGACAAGCTATACCATGTATAAGGTACAAGTGATTCTCGCATGTTTTGCGTGTACTGAAGACTATTTAAAGTACAACGACTGCATTAATTATTCTAGCAGAACGGAATTGAATTGCACGCAGTCACGAGTCTTAAAAAAAGGAAACGGCAGGAGTATATTATGTCTTTCTTCGACTACGGGCGAATAGCCAATAATGACGGATAATTTTAAGAAGAACATAAATGCTAGGAAAAACAGCGTGCTTCGGGGTACACATATGGCAAGAGTCTCAAAAGAAAAAAAATTCTAATCAACTTGACTCGCTGTAGAAAATTAGTTACAATTACAGTCAGTTAAGATCAGTATTGTCATACTCTTCTATTGCTCTATGCAGCATAATACCAAGAATCTTGTAATCCGTTAGAAAGTTTAATGCAATTCATCTCCACTCATATGTCTATTGATCAGTTGCCATTGAAAAGTATTACGAGATAACGCTTATTATTTGCCAGACTGTCTCATCAATTCATTAAAATCATGTGTCCGGCCCCGCATTTGTATCACGCGATGAACGGTAATAGCTGTCTTGCCAGTTGTCTCGTACACTTTCTTCCAGCGATGCTACAAAAAAGGAAATGAGAAAACGAGCGACTATCGCTTTCTTTATCCTGTATATCTCCTGCAAGCTGCTTATTGAACGGAAACGTGGTTGAACGATTGTAATTGCGTATTAGACATTCAAGCCGTTTGGGTTTGCATTGTAACCATGGTTGATAGGAACCGTGGTTATGAGGCTTTTGTATGATAAATAAAGGAGAGAGAGTGAAAAAAAGAATAATTTTATTTTTTATCTATATTAAACGTAATACGAGGGTTGATAAGTACCCGTGTTAGAGAAGGAAACGCATTTTAAAAAATTTTTTTTACTTATTTTTCAACATAATCTCCTTTCAGCTCAATATCACTTAATCCAGCAATATTCCAACGTTTTTATACCATCCAAAAAATATGATTTATCGAACTCTGCAAACTCTGTTTCGGCGATGGTTTCCTCGTTTGACGTGAACTGCTTTCCGCCAAGCCATTTTTTCATGTTTTGAAAGTTTTGTTAACGAACCCGATTAGGCTTGTATGGTAATCGTGATTTTTGAAAGAAAAATAATTGAGGGAATGAGACATTCCGTATCTTATGTACTGAGAAGGTAATAACAAGTAACTTTTCTTGATGTTTTAGGAGTTGATATTCTGCCGATCACATCTCCAGGAAAAATATCGAAATTAAAAGAATGGACTAGAGATGAGTGGGAGACTACTTTCAAGCAGAAACATCGACAAACTTAAATTATGAGAAGATGCTGAAACTTCCGGTGAAAGTCCAATTTCTTGGTGCTAAACTATACATTCACGTTATTATTTTTCAAATAAAAATATCATAACGTGCAGTGTATAACAACGCACGAAGTAACAGCATAAGGTATTTATTGCATCTTATTACTAATAGAGATTCTGTAACCATCTAATACCTGACACTTTGAATTGGTTTCAATTATTAACTAGTTTCATTGATCACAGCTTCTAATTGTCAGTCTATACTAATTACGCTATTTATCACTAATGTTGCCATGCTATAGTTTCAAACGACGTCAATACATCGCATTCAAAACGGACATATATGACGCGGACGCTTTCATGATCTAAAACAAGATACAACGGATTATCATTCGCAAAGACGTGCATATTATAACAATAATTGAGATTAATTAGAAAATAATACAAAGAATGAAATAGTTATTCATCAACTAAAATCCACATACTTACGCCGGTGAAGAGTTCTAACGATAAATCCGTCATTCCTCCAGCCGTAATGGTCAATTGCTTCTGAGACCTCATAATTATGAATAATATGTCTTTACTGTGACTGGGCGCCATATTGTACCATAAACCTTCGTATCCTGCATCGCCGAGTGACCTGCTCTAAGAGCAATGCAACAAACAGAAATTCAAATAAAATAACATTTTACTTTAGTAGAAAAATTAGGAATAGTTTTTCGCCTAAAACCACCAAATATTTATAGTACAATCAACAATAATAAAACAAGGATTCTTGCATGATTAGTATAGTGATGAATGTAAATATGTTGTATGAACGCTGTGTGTGTGTGTGAGGATTTTTAGTTTTAAAAACAAACCGACATGAGCCCGTAGTCCGTATACTAGTCAGTCGAGTTCGAGCCTGTTAATTAATTGTTTATTCTGTTTAGTTTTTCTGCGTGTTTGTTTTGTTCTGTTACAGTTATTGAATTACAATGGTTGAAAAGATGAAATTTTTTGAACGCAAGATACAAATAAAGATAAACTTACATAAGCAAAAGTTCAATCTAACATCAATAAATATTAAAATATAGGTACTTTAAAATGTGCATGCTGTAATCATTTTCGAACAGATATTGTTCCAAACGAATTGCTGGTTACAAATGGTTACAAATTAATTATCAAATTAGGCAACATGGAAAAGTTATTTTTACTAAATAATCACTAACCTTAATACCTAGATATTCTCCAACAAAACAAAATGTAAATATTTCCGCCGTTATGCCGGCGTAACCAAGTAAGGCTTTGAACAGACCAACACCAGCTTCATTATGAGACTGTTAAATGTTCAAACTAACTAAATTAATTATTAATATAGATCCCTGGACGCTCATGTGGACGCCGCGATACTTACTATCATAAGGAAGAGTCCTAGGAAGCAGATTACTAAAGTATTACCAAAAACTTGCATTAGAGCTATGAAGGAGAAAAGCTTGTCAACATTCTCAGCAAATGTGATGACATTATTGTGCCTGTTGACCAGCATTCCTGCTGAAAAACGTGGAGATCCATAATTCATCATTTTCTCAGACATATTTTTCAATTGTTGACATACGATTTCGATTTGTCCACATGCATGAAATACCTAAAATATACTTAAATAGCTGCAAAGATTTCAAGTATTTCGTTTAAAGAGAAAATACATTTTAAAGAATCTCGATTATATAGAAAAAGAAGAAAAAGAGAGAATGCAACGCATTCTCCTCCCTCCTCCTGCGCCATGTGTCTGGTAATTCATTATTAAATTAAATAAACCTATTTATTGGTTGCCAGGAAACTTTCAGTCATATAGATCGAACACTGCCAGAGTGTTGGTATAAAACTGTGTTTAGCAAATTATATTAAATCCTAAAGAGTGCTACATTATATTTCCCTTATCGACGCTTTTAGATTGTGAGTCAAATGATCATAGCATTTTGCAAAACGTACCAGAGTAAGGAGCAAACCGGACATAACATTAACGGCAACTGTGGTCGAAATTCCATGCAGAAGCAAAATGCAGACAAGCAACTCATAAACCGGCGATTGCTCAGCCGCTGATGGGAACACCACCCTCACGGGAAACGGTCGTGAAGTAACATTGTCGCCCTTCAGCAACTGCACTATAGCCACCGCATTTTCGCCTCCGAAGTAAAGTGAGCCAGAGATCATGTTCAAAGTAAACAAGCCACGTGCACAAAAACTCGCCATGTTAGCTTTCGTCGTCATTATGTGCAAGTGCTGATCGACTTTCACGCACTCGCGCCAATCAATTTCCATAGCGGTCAGTACTTCGCGAATCACGCTGCAATTTGTCGCTTTAATCGGACAGAGATACATGTTGAGTCCTGGCATTATCACTTCTCTATACGAGGAATCATATATCGCGGTGTCAACTAACATTTAGAGAGCGTAATTACTAAGTGCGGTTCGCTTTAACGAAAATCAGCGATCGAACAGTTACTCGTTGAGAGGCCCCGTAACAATTTCGTCCCACAAATACGCAATATCGGGAGAATCATGAAAACATAAAATCACTGTTGTCTGTCATAATATCTTACCGTTGGTACTTCCAGAGTGTTATCAGTTTGACGGTGGTCAAAGTGTAATACATAGTCGACGGTATGCTATCTATGAGATTTTGCAGCTGCCCATATTTGAAGGTCGCGTATATGAACAAATATTGAAAGTACTGTATGACGGCTATGCTCAACACGTGAATCACTCGGCGAACGTAGGCGTAGGGCACGTCCGGCCACACGGCGAATGCTCGAAGGCCGATTTGCAGCGACGGACTGATCGTGCTTGTGACAACCATCTGTCCACGGTTCCAAGTATCTTCCAGGAAGCAAAAGTTTGAGCATGCACGATAAACTGAGGGAGCTTCGACCAATCCTCCAAGTGCATCCCCACATGCTACGTCCCCACTCCAATGGCCGTGGATCAATCGTTATTATGCGTTCCACAATGTAACAGAAAATCGAGATACAACTCATTATGTGCATGCAAATCTTGTAATTCTGTCGGCGCTTTAAATAATGCAACCTGACCGTGCATTGAGAAAAAATATCACGTTTCTCCTCCTACAGATGTCAGACTTCTCTCTTTTCTTTCTTTTTCAAGAACTTTCCTCCACCACAATATTATACCTTCGATAAATTACGTGTAATTCTCGCATTTTCTACTGGTACCGATACTATTAATTGTACAATTACTGCATCAGTTATTTCAACTGAACGCGACTGAATTATATGACTAACTGTGAGTCTTAAAAGAAGTAAACAAAAGTAGAGAATTGTGCCTCCAGTGCAACAGAGATGTCTCAAGCGATTATCAGGTATTTTTCCTTCTTTTGTTTGATAATTTGCGAGTAATCCTCGCATTTTGTACGTGAGAGGACAACGTTCGACTGCATTAGTTATTCTAACAGAACGAAATTGAATTGCACGCGTGGTTATAAGTCTTAAAAAAAGCAGACAGCGGAAGTACATTATATCTTCCTTTGAATACGATCGAATAGCCTATAATAACGAGTAATTTTTATAAATGTTAAGAAGAATAGTGTTCTTTAGGGTGCACATGTGGCAGGAGTCTCAAGAGAAAAAATTCTGATCAACTTTATTCGCTGTAAGAAATTACTTACAAACACAGTAAGTTAAGATCAATATCGTCATATTTTATGCCGCATAATAGCATAAAGGTACCTCATAATCCACTAGAAAGTTTAATACAATTCATCTCCACTTGCTAATAAGACTCCATGTGTCTATTGATCATTTGCGATTGAAAAGTATTTTGAGATAACGCTTATTATTTGCCAGACTGTCCTACAAATTCATTAAAATCATGTATCCAACCGCGTATTCGAACAAAGTTCGTATCACGCGATGAACTGTAATAGCTGCTTTGTCAGTTATTTCGTGCGCTTTCTTCCAGCAATGCTATAAAAAAGGAAATGAGAAAACGGGGGACTAACGCTTTCTTTATATATTCAGTATATATTCTGCAGGCTGTTTAATGGAAACGTGGTTGAACGATCGTTTTTGCGTACTAGACATCCTAGCCGACCAGGTTTGCGTTGTAACCGTGGATATGAGGTTGTTATAAGAGAAATAAAGGAGAAAGAGAGAAAGAGAAAGAAAAATTATATTTTTCTATATTGAGGAAGCGTAACATCTTGGGCATTCGATGGATTAAAGCAAAAGTCAATAAAGAGCACACCAAGTGTTTCTGTCTAAATCTTAATTTTATTTTTCAATTTATAATTATTTTTAATTTTAGTTTTAACCATTTTAAATTTTTATTAAACCTTTAATAACTTAAGCTCAAGTCTTTAACTCAAATTGAATTGCAATTGCAATTTAAATCAATATTAAAATTCAATGTACATTATTATATGCAATTATCGATTACAGTTTCTAAATTGTCAAACTATACTAATTACACTATATTATGTTATTATCGTGCTATAGTTTTAAGTAGTATCAACACATCGCATTCAAAACGGACATATATGATGCCGATGCTTTCATAATCTAAAACAAGATAAAACGAAATATTATTCGCAAAATGCAAGCTTATTACACTGCAAACGTTGACATAACTTAGGGAAAGTACAAGAAATCAAACAGTTATACATCAAGAAATATTCACAAGCTTACACTCGTGAAGGCTTCGAACGATAAATTTGCCATGCCTCCAGCTGTAATAGTCAATTGTTTCTGAGATCTTATGATTATTAATAATATATTTTTACTATGACTGGACGACATATTGTACCACAAAGAATCGTACCCTGCATCGCCAAGTAACTTACTCTGAAAACAATGTAACAAACAGATATTCAAGTAAAATGATATTTTCCTTTAATAGAAAAAGTAGGAACAGTTTGTAGCCTCTATGTAATATCAAAAAATGTTTAAAATAAAGATATAAGAATATGTTCATCACAGATTCTCCCGGGAATATTATAGCATCTCTTGAAGAAAACATATAGATAATGTAAAACTTCCATAGATAAAATCAAAAGATATCATAAAAATATATTACGATACATATTAAAGAAAAAAAAAATAATATTAAAATATGTTAATAATAAAATAATTATTAAAGAAGATATATTAATATTCGTGTATTTTAAAATGTGAATCTTCTATAATTGTTTTCGCAGGAAAATTGTCCCGGATGACTGAAATAATTAATACTAATTAATTATTATAGTTAATAATAATTATAAAATTAGATTACTTAAAAAAATTAGTTAAACATAATGATTTTTGAATAGTAACTAACCTTATGGCCTAGGTGTTCTCCGACAAAACAATATACGAACAGTTCCATCGTTATGCCGAAGTAAGCAAAGAAGATTTTCAACAAGTCGATGACAGTTATTGTGTGAGACTGTTTCATTCAAATAATCAGAATGACTGAATCAATTACGATATCAGTTACGGTGCACTCAATACTGTGTATACAATACTCACTATCATAACAACGAGTCCTAGGAAGCAGATTATTATGGTATTACCAAAAACTTGCATCAAAGCTATATAGGAGAAGAGCTTATCGATATTCTTGGAAAATAAGATGAGTTTATTATGATTTTGGATCAACATTCTTGTTGTATAAGCCAGAGATCCATAAGGTGGTATTTTCTCAGAACTAGCTTTCAATTCTTGGCACATGATTTCGATTTGTCCGGACGCATGAAAGACCTAAAATATACTTAAATATCTGCAAACATTTCAAACATGTTTAAAAACATTATGTTTAAAAAATCAAATGCATTTAGAAGCATATCTCAGCTATAGGCAAGAAAAATGCAGAACGCAATATTCCTTACATTTGTGATAATAAATTATTGAATTATACAAAAAAGTCCTTCGATTTATCATTAATAAAAATTCATCTAGGTTAAATCTTAGGCAATGTCAAAGTTTGTGCAAAAGTGAGTTTTGCAAGCTAAATTATATTGCAGGTAATGCCATATTAAATTTCCCTCGGCGATATTTCTCGATTGTGTATTTATCATTCATAGCATTTTGCGAAACGTACCAGACTAAGTATAAGCGAAGTGAGAAGATTGTCTATGTATATCATTGACATCGAATGCAGATATAAGACGAGGACGATCAACTCGTAGACTGGCGATTGCTCAGCATCAAAAGGAAGCAGTAGCTTCGTGGGAAATGGTCGTGAAGTAACATTGTATCCCCATAGAATTTGCACAATAGCCACCAAGTTATCACTCCCGAAGTAGAGAATTGCAGAGATGGTATAGAAATACATCAAATAGTGCGTACAAAACTTCGAGATGCTAGCTTTCGTCTTCATTATATACAAATGTTTGTCGAGTTTCACGCACTCCCGCCAATCAGTGTCCACAGTGGCCAATAATTCGCGAACTATACTGCAAAGTGTTGCTCCAATCGAATAAAGATACTTCGAGCAGTGGTGTTATCATTTCAACAAACAATACATGCAGCGTCGATTACTATTTAGATGGTGTAATTACTTAGCCACGTTATGCTTTAATAAAAATTAGCAGACAAACGATAAGCACTGAGAGACTCCGCGTCGATTACTTTCCACGAATACATTTCCACAAATAAATTGCAGAAAAAAAAATCGCGTTGTATCATGATATCTTACCGATGATGCTTCCAAACTGTGATCGCCTTGAAACCGGTTAAGTTGTAATATACAACTCCCGGCAAGCTATCTACGAGGTCATGTAGCTCACCACGCTTGCAGATCATGAATATATACAGATACTGAAAATACTGCACGAGGAATGTGGTCAACAGATAAATCAGCTGGCGGACGAAGGTGAATGATACGTCTGGCCACATACCGAATACTCGGAGACCAAATTTCAGCACTGGACAGATCGTGCTTGTGACTACCATCTGTCGACAATATCGAAGATAATCAAGAAAGTGAAAATCGGAACACGTACGACAGTCTCATATACGATGAACTGAGCGATGAAGAGAACGTTTAACGATTCTCCAAGTTCTACGTGCTGCGTCTCTACATCGGTGCACAACGATTAATCATTATTGGTCGTATGCGTTGGGTACTATAGCAGTAAGAGTCGACATAAAAGTGAGAGAATGCACTGCATTCGCGTATGATCAACTGAAAGAGCATCGTCCGATCCTCCAAAGTACATCCCCATGTGCTTTGTCCCCACTCCGGTGAGCAGCGATGAATCATTATTATACATAGCGTAGTATAATAGTTACACTTATTTTCCACATAATCATCCTACAACTCCGTCGATCCGTTGAATAATACGTTCCAAATGCGTTCCAAATGCGCATCAAGGAAAAATTGAAGGTACGTCTTCTCAATCGAATATCAGTCTTTTCCCTGTTTCAAGAAGATTATTCCGCGACAAAGATATATCATGTATAAAGTACAAGTGATTCTCGCATTTTTTGCTTGCATTGAAAACCATTTAAAGTACGACGACTGCATTAGTTATTCTAAGAGAACAGAATTGAATTGCACGCATAGTCACGAGTCTTAAAAAAAGTAAACGGCGGGAGTACATTGTGTCTTCCTTTGACCACGATCAAAGAGCCAATAATGACGGGTAATTTTCATAAATGTTAGGAAGAACTCCGGGGTGCACATGTGGCAAAAGAAGTCGCAAAAGAAAAAAAATTCTGATCAACTTGACTTGCTGTAGAGAAGTAGTTACAAGTACAATCAATTAAAATCAGTATCGTTATATTCTTCTATAGCTTATGCTGCCGCATAAGACCATGAATATACCTCATAATTCACTAGAAAGTTTAATATAATTCATCTCCACTGATGTGTCATTGGTCAGTTGCAATTGTATATTTATTGTATGTCATATTGTTGCAAAAGTATTTCGAGATAACGCTGATTATTTGCTACACTGTCCTATAAATTCATTAAAATTATTTATATATATATCCGAAAGTGTATTTGAACAAAGTTCGTATTACGAGATGAACGATAATAGCTGGTTTGCCAGTTGCTTCATGCACTTTCTCCCAGCGATGTTACAAAAAAGAAAATGATAAAACGAGTAACCATTTTTCTTTATATATCCTACACATATCCTGGAAACTGCTTATTTGACGTAAACGTGGTTGAACAATTGCAATTGCGTATTAGATATTCAAGCCGATCGGGTTTATATTATAATCATGGTTATGAAGCTCTTGTAAAAAAAATAAAGGAGAGAGAAAAAGAGAGAAAGAAAGAAAAATTTTATTTTTTCTCTATATTGAAGAAGCATAATATCTTGGGCATTAACTACACTGAAATAAAAGTTAAAGAAGGGGACACCAAGTGTTTTTGTCTAAATCTTAATTTTATTTTTCATTTTTTATTTATTTTTAATTTTATTTTCAAACATTTTAAATGTTTATTAAATTTTAATAATTTCCCTTTTCCCAGTTTTTAACTCAAATTGAATTTAAATTTCGCCTTTGATGTGCAATTGTTGCTTTCTAGTGGAAATAAATTATTATGTGTGTATATTTATTACAAATATTGTTAAATATTATTACTGTTCCGAAATTCCTGACAATTTATGATCCTGAATATTTGAGATTATCTAGATCAGTTGGTTAATTCTGTAGTTCGAAAACAATGTAGCGGAAGCGCGCGCGCGTAAGATGTCCTATATATTTGACCTTCTTAGTGATTTCACAAGTCTTTTATAATATTGTCTTAAATTTTTACAAAGATTGTGGTTTTTTTCTCCACAATATTTATAAAGTTTTTTTTTCAGATTATATTTTTATGTTATTTTAATTATATTTTTTGTTATAACATTTTCTACGAACATTATTGAAGTAAATTTTTTCAGAGATTACAATACAAAATTTAACAATCTAGCAACAGCATGAGGTATTTATTGCATCGCATTAAATATAAACTTAAATATTGTAATCTTCAAATCCATGTTTACAATTTGAATTAATATTAAGATTCAATACACCTTATTATATGCTGTCATTAATTACAGTTCTAAATTGTTCTAAATTGTCAAACTAATTACACTATTTTGTGTTATTACCGTGCTATAGTTTCACATAACATTAATACTTTGCATTCAAAACGGACATGTACGATGCCGATGCTTTTATGATCTAAAACAAGATAAAATTATTCTTCGTAAAGTACGCGTATATTATGTAGCAAACGTTGACATAAATTAGAGAAAGTACAAAAAATCGAACAGTTGTATATCAAGAAAAATTCATAAACTTACACTTGTAAAGGTTTCTAACGATAAATCTACCATGTTTCCGGCTGTAATATTCAATTGCTTCTGAGATCTCATGATTATAAATAATATATTCTTTTTGTGACTAGATGACTTATTGTACCACAAAGAATCGTACCCTGCATCGCCAAGTAACTTACTCTGAAAACAATGTAACAAACAGATATTGAAGTAAAATGAAGTCTGCCTTTAATAGAAAAATTAGGAACAATTTGTAGCCCATGTAATATCACAAAATTTTTAAAATAAAAATATAAGAATATGACGGAAGAATTCGTCACGGATTCTCCCGGGATTATTATAGAATTCCCTTGAAGAAAACATGGATAATGTAAAACTTTCATAGACAAAATCAAAAGACAACATCAAATTATATTATGATACATATGAAGTAAAAAATATATAATATTAAAATATATATTAATAATATACATAATAATTATTAAAGAGGATATATTAATAATCGTATATTCTAAAAGGTGTCCCTTCTATAATTGTTTTCGCAAGGAAATTGTTCCGGATGACTGAAATACTTATAATTAATGATAACTTAAAAATAATAATTATTAATTATAATTAATAATAACTTAAAAATAGTCAAATTAGATTACTTGAAAAAAGTATTTAATATTAATGGTTTTCAAATAGTCACTAACCTTATGGCCTAGGTGTTCTCCGACAAAACAATATACGAAAACTTCTATTGTTACGCCGAAGTAAGCAAAGAATATTTTAAGCAGGGTGATGATATGTATTGAGTGAGACTGTTTCATTCAAATAATCAGAAGAACTGAATCAATTACGATATCGGTCACTGTGCACTCATATACGATACTCACTGTCATAACAACGAGTCCTAGGAAGCAAATTATTATGGTATCACCAAAAACTAGCATCAAAGCTATGTAAGAGAAGAGTCTATCAATATTTTTGGAAAATGAGATGACTTTATTATGATTCTGGATCAACATTCTTGTTGTATAAGCCAGAGATCCATTACTTTGTATTTCCTCAGAACTAGCTTTCAACTCTTGACAGATGATTTCGATTTGTCCGGACGCATGAGAGACCTAAAATATACTTAAATATCTGCAAACATTTCAAGCATTATATTTATAAGAGGAATTGCATTTGGGAAGATATCGCGGTTACAGGGAAGAAGAATGCAGAATACAATGTTCCTCACGTGTGTGATAATAAAAATTATTGAATTATACAAATCTTTCCACCTATTATTAATAATTATTTATCTACGTCAAATCTTTGGCAACGTCAGAGTTTTCGCCTAAGTAAGTTTTGCAAACTAAATTAAATTACAGGTAAAGAAATATGCTTCGGTGATATTTTTGGCTTGTGGGTCTAATGTTCGTAGCATTTTGCCAAACGTACCAGACTAATTATGAATGCAGTGAGAAAATTGTCTAGATATACCACTGACATCGAATGCAGGTACAAGACGAGGACGATCCAGTTATAGACCGACGATTGCTCGGCATCAAACGGAAGTAGTAACTTCGTGGGAAAAGGTCGCGAAGTAACATTGTATCCCCGTAGAATTTGCACGATAGCTATCAAGTTATCACCTCCGAAATAGAGTGAACCAGCGATCGTATTGAAATAAATCAAAAAGTGCGTACAAAACTTCGAGAAGCTAGCGTTTGTCTTCATTACGAGCAAATGTTGGTCGACCTTCATGCACTCCCGCCAATCAATATCCATAGTGGTCAATAATTCGCGAATTAAGCTGCAACGTGTTTCTTTAATCGGACAGAGATACTTCCAGTGGCGTTATCATTTGAACAAATAATAAACGTTGATTACTTTTTAGATGATGAATTTAGTAAACCATGTTCCTCTTTAATGAGAATTAGCAGACAAACGATACACGCTGAGAAACTCAGCGTCGATTACTTTACACGAATACACAAACAAATTGCAGAAAAAGAAAGTCGCGTTGCCTACCATAGTATCTTACCGATGATGCATCCAAAGTGTGAACACCTTGAAGCTGGTTAAGCTATAATATACAGTCCCCGGCAAGCTGTCTGCGAGACCATAGAGCTCACCGCGCTTGAAGATCATGTATATGTATTGATACTGAAAGTACTGCAGGATGAGTGTAGTCAACAGATAAATCAGCTGGCTGACGAAGGTGAATGATACATCCGGCCAAATACCGAATATTTGGAGAGCTAATTTCAGCAATGGACAAATAGTGCCTGTGACTACCATCTGTCGACAATATCGAAGATAATCAAGAAAATGAAAATCGGAGCACGTACAACACTCTCATCTACGATGAACTATGAGAGTGCCTAACAATTCTCTAAGTTCTACCCTACGTGCTGCGTGCCTACATCGGTGGTGAACAACGATCGGTCGTTATTGGTCGTATGTGTTGGGTACTATAGCAGTAAGAGTCGATATAAAAGTCGGAGCATTGACTGCACTCGCGTGTATGATAAACTGAAAAAGCGTCGTCCGATCCTCCAAGTGCATCCCCAAGTGCTTTGTCCCCACTCCGGTGAGTAGCGACCAATCATCATTATACATAGCGCAGTATAATAGTTACACTTATTTTCCACCTGATTATCCTCCAACTCCAACGATCCGTTGAATAATAAGTTCTAAATACGCATCGAAAAAAGTTGAAGGTACGTCTTCTCAATCGAATATCAGTCTTTTCTCTGTTTCAAAAAGATTATTCCACGACAAAGATATATCATGTATAAAGTACAAGTGATTCTCGCATTTTTTGCGTGTAACGAAAACCATTTAAAGTACGACGACTGCATTAATTATTCTAATAGAACAGAATTGAATTGCACGCATGATCACGAGTCTTAAAAAAAATAAACGGCGGGAGTACATTGTGTCTTCCTTTGGCCACTATCAAAGAACCAATAATGACGGGTAATTTTCATAAATGTTAGGAAGAACAGCGTTCTTCGAGGTGCACATGTGGCAGAAGTCGCAAAAGAAAAAAATTCTGATCAACTTGACTTGCTGTAGAGAAGTAGTTACAAATACAGTCAATTAAGATTAGTATCGTTATATTCTTCTATAGCTTATGCTGCCGCATAAGACCATGAATATACCTCATAATTCACTAAAAAGTTTAACACAATTCATCTTCACTGATATGTCATTGATCAGTTGCAATTGTATATTTATTGTATGTCATATTGTTGCAAAAGTATTTCGAGATAACGCTGATTATTTGCTACACTGTCCTATGAATTCATTAAAATGATATATATATATATATATATATATATATATATATATATATATATATATATATAT